TGTCCTAGTTCTGCAACCTCCTTCTACAATTCCACCCTCTCCTCTCAACTAGACATCATGGCACCTTGTACATTTAAACGCCGCAGGCCCCCCCAACAACAACCCTGGCACACCAAGCTCACTCGATACCTCCAAAAATGCTCCAGAACTGCTGAACGCTGTTGGAGAAAGTCTCACTGTGCATCTGACTTTCTCCACTATAAATTTATGCTGAGCTCATACAGCTTGGCTCTTTCCTCTGCAAAAGTTAATTACTTCTGTTACGGGCAAATACAAATATTACAAGTTTTAGAATGAAATCTTGTATTTCTTAAACTGTGTACTTTGTCTTTAAGAGATATTGCGAACTGACAAGGTGTTAGAAATGGAACATATTGTTTTTCATAGATGTTTCTTTAAGCAATAACCTCAGTGCATAATATATTTGCGCCATTTTGTCCCAGACGAATTACAATAACAATAATGCATAAACAAGCTTCAAGGCTATACTACGACACTTGCAGTACACAATATACTGTGGTAATCCCAAGTTAATGGAACTTCCCCCAAATCCGGGAATCTCCCACGAATGTACACTTACGACTTAGTATAAACAACAGATAACCTATTCAGACTTTAAGATGCCATCTTGAACTAAGTCAGGAAAATTTCCATGACGTATACACCCTTTAGTTATGGCCTTGTATGTTTGCCAAGTTAAGGGAGGTCCTAAATTGAATAAAGTAAAAGAAGTGCTAATTTTTCATATAATAAATATGAACTACCGTAACCTTAAAATGGAGACACCTAAGGTATAAATAGGTGTACTTTTAAATGTTAAGATACAGAGGAGAGACTTGGAGACAGACGCTGCTCCATCTTAAAATGACAGAGAGGCTGACATGATGACATGTTCAGAAGGGTATGTTAACCTATTAATGATATTTGCAAACATGTAATTTAATCTTATAAACTCTGCTATAATGGAATTTATATTTTTATATAATAAATATCCAAAAAGACAATCTTGCTTCCAAGACAATCCTTATTTTATATTGTATTCTCAATTATTTATATATGTTAAATAGAGGATCTCTTACACTATATAAAATTATGGCTAAGATATCTGTATGGTTAGCCCTACTAAGTTCTATGCTTTAAGACATTATAGTGGTAAATAAGGGAACCACCAGCAGTTACACTTCAATACCCTCATAACCACACTCTGCCGCGAACCCAAACGACTATTTTACACATTTAACTCTCTTCTTCGCCCTGCTCTTCCTCCTCCACCTACTAACTTGACCGCCTCAGACTTTGCAACTCACTTCACTGACAAGATCTCTACAATCAGAGAAGAGATCTCTCATCTTTCTTCTTCCCCTTATACACAATACTTCCCCTAACTTCACTCCCTCTGTTGTTCTATGTTCATTTGCACCCGCTACATTGTAAGAGATTTCTGCTCTGCTCCGGTCCTCCCGCCCCACCACCTGCTCCCTAGATCCAGTTCCCTCACATCTCATCCATACTCTGTATTCTTCTCTTTCTCCACCTCTCACTAAAATTCTCAATCTCTCTCTCTGCTCTGGTATATTTCCATTGCCCTTCAAACATAAAACTGTAACCACAATTCTAAAGAAGCCCAATCTTGACCCTAACTCCCCATCCAACCATCGTCCTATCTCGCTACTGCTTTTTGCATCCAAGATCCTTGAAAAAATTGTGTATGCGAGATTGACAGACTTCCTCGAGTCCAACTCTCTGCTAGACCCGCTTCAGTCTGGTTTCCACGCTAAGCACTCTGTGGAAACGGCACTGACCAAAGTATCCAATGATCTACTTGCTGCAAAATCTCGTGGTCACTACTCTATCCTTATTCTGCTTGACCTGTCTTCGGCCTCCAATATCATTTCTATGCAGATGACACGCAAATATACCTGTCCTCTCCTGATCTCTCCCCATCCCTCTTGACTAGTGTCTCTGACTGCCTCTTGGCTGTTTCTAACTGGATGGCAGCCCACTTCCTTAAACTAAACTTGACCAAAACTGAAATTCTGGTCTTTCCTCCCTCAAATGTTGTTACTCCTGAGTCTGTCTCCCTCCAAGTCAACGGTGCTACCATCAGCTCCACCACGCAGGCTCGCTGCCTAGGTGTTCTCTTTGACTCCGACCTCTCCTTCAATCCTCATGTTCAATCTATCGCCAAATCCTGTCATTTCCATCTCAAAAACATTGCGCGCATCCGCCCCTACTTAACGCCAGATGCGACTAAGGTGTTGGTCCATTCCACTGTCCTTTCTTGCCTTGACTACTGTAATCCGCTTCTCAGTGATCCTACGTGCTCCCAACCAGCACCGTTACAGTCCATAATGAATGTGGCTGCGAGGCTCATCTTCCTGTCCGCCCGCACCTCCCATGCCTCACCCTTCTGTCAGTCCCTACATTGGCTTCCTATAAAATATAGAGCTCAATTTAAAATTCTGGTTCTTGCTTTCAAATCTCTACATAATGCTGCTCCCACCTATCCATCCTCCCTTATACACAAGTATGTCCCGTCTAGGCCCTTACGATCTGCTGAAGACTTACGTCTATCTTCTGTCCGTACTCCCACCTCTGATGCTCGCCTTCAAGATTTCTCGAGGGCTGCACCATTCCTGTGGAACTCGCTTCCCTCCTCCGTTAGATGCTCACCGAGTCTTCACTCCTTCAAAAAATCGTTAAAAACCCACTTCTTCATAAAAGCGTATCAATTAAACGGTTAATAACTCCTGACTGATTCCTCTTCTGCAACTGTCACTAGTCGAATACTATCCTTACCTTTTTGTGTCATTTTACCCCACTCCCTCTAGCATGTAAGCTCATTGAGCAGGGCCCTCAACCCCTCTGTTCCTGTGTGTCCAACTTGTCTGGTTACAACTACATGTCTGTTCGTCCACCCATTGTAAAGCGCTGCGGAATTTGACGGCGCTCTATAAATATCATAATAATAATAATATAAGGTGAAAATACCCAATACTGGAAAAAATTCTTGAAGTCAGTTAAGCTTGCAGTTCCGCAAATCTGGCTTTAAATGTGAAATTATCTTTGCAATCTATTTGAATTCTCACTTTATTTAATAATATTGTTTAATTTAGGAACCATCAGAAGTGCCACATTCTACTCTCTCCTTTCCCCCTGTTATTGTATTTTTTATGGGGGTGTTATTAATATTATTAATATTAATATTATATTTCCAATTTTCAAGGCTGGCTAAGGGTCTAAGGGTCATGGGGAATTAATTCAGAACCCCCCTGAGAGCCAAGATTAGTCATCCTTGGATTCTATCCTCTGTCTCAAAATCTCTTTCCTTGTGTCCCAGGGGTATAAACACATGCCACTCGCTAGTTACTGGCACCTGTTTCTTAAAGCTCATTTGTAACCCTGGTGCCCTTCATACACATTGTGTTTGTGGCATCTCATATTGGCAGATAAATTATAATCACTTTCTGCCAAGCCCATCATTAGACACCGCGCTCCATCACCAACCCCCGAAACTCAGGCTGATCTTCCCACTTTACACATTGATTTTCTCCCGGGGCTGACTTTCTCGCTGGTAATGAAGAGTCAGAAAAAGATTGGACATTACAGAGTGAAAAAAAAAATCTTTGAGATGAAAATAAAACGGAGTAATTTGCCTACAAAGAGACAAAATAGAACGAAAGAAAGTGTTTGCTTCTTTGCTTGAAAGAGCAGCGATTTGCTGCCTAACATAACTATTTAGAGTATTGCGACCTGATGCCCCCAGAACTCCTGCCATTATCAAACACCCCTTTATCTTTATTCTCTATAAAATAACTTTATGGAAATAGCTGTCAGTTCAGACATTGACCAGCTTAACGCACACGGTACCCCTAATGTTATTCAGACCCCCCTTTTCTGGGCAGACTATTCATTCTTAAAGGGACACTATAGCCACCAGAACAACTACAGCTTAATGCAGTTGTTCTGGTGAGCATAATCATTGTCTTCAGGCATTTTCATGCAAACACTGCCTTTTCAGAGAAAAGGCAGTGTTCACATTGCTGCTGGGGACACCTCCAAGTGGCCACTCCTCAACTGGCCACTGGAGGTGCTTCCTGGCTCAGTGCTGCACAGTAGGCAGCTCTGCCGTTCAGCTCCCCACGCTCAGCATGGAGACACTGAATTTTCCTCAAAGAGATGCATTGATTCAATCAGGGCCGGATTTGGAAAATAATTCGGCTCGGACATTTTTTAATCACAGCGGCCCAATAAGAAGGGGGCAGGACAGAGAGGGTGTGTTTTGTCATCACCAATGACAAGCACACCCCCTCTTAAAGTGAGCATGTTGGTTCAATGCTCTTCCAGGGCAGATCATGTACAGTGCAAGCAAATTTAATAACATGCTTGCACTGTGTTTCCTTGCAACTTGTCTCTGGTGTCTCTATAATTAGGATACAAGGAGACAAAATGTCCAGGAAAGAGCATTGTGCATGTTTTCGGAGCCTGCGTGTGGGATTGTGTGTGTGTAGAGTGAGCTGATTGTGGTGTGGTATTGTGCAATAAGGTCAGTTTTAGTCATGTTGTGTTTGTGGTGTAATGTAAGGCATGTGTGGCTAGGGGCTGTAGAGTGTGTGTGTATAGGGGATGTAGTAAGTGTGTGCATACAGGCTATAGTTATGTAGTGTTTGTAGGGGTTGTAGAGAGTGTGTGTTCAGGGAATGTAGTATGTGTTTGCTTACAAGGAATCTAGTGTGTGTGTATAGGGGATTCAGAGTGTGTTTGTCAGGAATGTAGTGTGTGTGTAGGTGATGTAGTGTGTGTGTGTATGTATAGGGGACTAGTGTGTGTTTGAAGGACCCAGAATGTGTATAGGAGATCTAGTGAGTATGCGTATATAACGGATTCAGTGTATATAGGGATCTAGTGTGTGTATGTGTGTAGATAATCCAGAGTTGGGTAAGGGATCTAGTGTGTGTCTGGAATGTAATGTGTTTAGGGGTGCAGTATGTGTGTAAGGGGTACAGTGTGTGTGTGAGGGGTGCTGCAGTATATATATAAATATATATTTACTGCAGCACCCCTCACACACACACTGTATCCTGTGATCTCCCCTGCTGGCCTTGGCCCATGATTTTGGGCCGACTGGACATTTGCCCGGTGTGCCCGATGGCGAGTCTGGGCCTGGATTCAATTCATCTCTATGAGGAGGCCCCGCCCCCTGCCTATTTTAGCCAAAGCATTGGATTGGCTAAAAATCAGCAATTCTGATGATGTCACCAAGGGGGCGGGACCAGTGCCGGGAGACCCACACGGCGCTGGAAATAAGGTGAGTTTTTCATTCTTTTAAGGGGACTAAGGGGGGGCAAGCCGTCTTAATGGTGGGTTATGCACTATAGGGTCTGGAATAAATGGTTGTGTTTCAGACCCTATAGTGTTCTATTAAATAGTGATTTTATGGGAAGAGCTGCGAGTTCAGAAACTAGCCAGCACATTGTCCCATAGGAACCCCAATAACATTCAAAAACCCCTCTACCTGAGCTGAGACTTTATTTTTGATAGTGACTTCATGGAGACGCAGAGAGTAGTCAGCCAATATTATTTGGTTCCACTTTCTTCCTATATTGAGTGCCTGTATGGGAACAAGAGTGGTCACGAACTGGTAAGACGTAAGCCTAATGCCCCAAGACATGAATATTATTCAGACACACTATTATCTGGGGTTTCCTTCATTCACTATCTGCTGGTTATATGGGAACAGTTGTTTATATTACGTTTATATTTACCGATGTTTCTCCATCTTTAGCAATGCTAAAATAAAGATGTCTTGATAGACAAATGAATTATAAGACTTTCCTTCCTCTGCCTGAACATTTATATCCCACCTCCTCCCTTTCTTTTTCCCCCCTCTCTTTCCTGCATTGCTATCACACTCTTCTGTAGGTATCTCTCACTATCTTATCCACCTTCTACATCATTGAAATACGCTAGGTATCTCCACATGAGCGCCCACACACACTCTATCTCTCCAAAATATTGAAAGTAAACCTGACCAATATTACACACATTACCACTCCTGGGACTGCCTACGAGCAAAGTGTAAAATAGTCTATCCTAAGCTCGTTGGTGATCAGTCGTCAGACCACGATATTTAGTACTGCTGACGAGCCAATCTGACAATGACCTGTTTTACCTCTCAATAACTATGTAATTGATTTCGCACGTACACTCATCGTATGTTGTAATGTTCTCACCGTATTTAGGAGTTGTACTTCTTACTCCCCTTCACTACACGTACCTTGATGCATTTTCTGTACTTGCTATTGTTATTCTCAATAACCTTAAATAAAAAATAAATAATTAAGACTTTCCTTATTCAAAAAGCCCGATTTAGACTCAATGGGTGAGAAACAGGAGGTGGGGACTGCAACGGTGGGAATGACGTGAACTCATTGTGAGATGAGGGCATTTATTGGGTACTGAGTTGAGTGTACAGTGTCAGAGTGAGAATGAACCTATTAGTCACGGCTTCCTCACCGATCAAACTTGAGTAAGAACTGAGGTCTCCAGTTTTCATACAGCTCAGCTATATCTGTAAACGCAGAGCACTCACCTCGCAGAATCATGTCACTGCTTTCTTTATTCAAATAAGCAGCTTATTGAATATTGCAACCTGTGCAGAAATTCAATGGAAAAATACCCGCGTCCCAATCCTCAAATGGACTTTCCTCTGGACAATTAACAAATGGGGAGTGTGGGAATATATACGTAAATCGGACCTCAACAACGCCAAGCAAAACAGTTGGTTTCTTTTTGTATCATTAATTTTTTTTGCCATTGTTAAGGTCTATTAATTTTAGGTTTGTATTCCCTCATGCTGAGTCTGTTAAATGTCCCGAGGAAAGGACTGAAACACAGGCATAGGCATTTTTGCATTAATTTTCTGCACAGATTGCAATATGTCATATAAGCTCCTTATTTATATAGAGGATCAGTGACACGAGCAGTGACACGAGCAGTGACACGGTTTTACACAAGATCAGTGAGTGTGCTACTTTTCTAAAAATATTTTTTAATATTCTCAAATTTTCTTTTTTTGTATATGTTTTTTCTCACAACAACCTTCTTACAATTCATTGTTGACTCTCTCAACACTACTCAATCATTCCGCAAAAACAATCGCCACAATCTAGAGTCCAGAATTCAACCTGTATGTGCCTTGTGTCTCATCAGTCCTTCGTAGACTGGAAGCATGGACATTGGCTCCGAAAACCTACAGAATCCTTTCTGTTTCACATTTTGTTACACTCTTTATACAATGTGTTCAGCTCTGTAGAATCGATAGAGCTGTATAAATAATTGAAAATAAAAATTAGCTGAGTTTTCAGTCACCCACGTCTTTCTTATTATGATATCGAGATTGTACCTTTCATATCAGTACCGTCTGCTGCCCGATGTTCCCCTCCTTCCCCAGCCCAATTGCCTCCCCCCACTCCAGCCTTTTTTTTCTCCTTCAATTCTGTCCTTTTCACTTGACAGGTTTATAAACGAGCAGCAGGAAACTGAGATACTACCTGGGTCAACGATTCTACATGAACTTATCATTTCATGTAGCAGAACCCCCAGATTTCATTCCTTGGCAGTTGACATCTCTGCGGTTGGTTCCTGATCCAATGCCCACCATCTGTTTAACTTCTATATAAAACATAAACAGTTTTAGCGAACTTGCCTAAAACTGTACTTTTTCTTGAGAAACAGTGCACATGGCGATACTAACGATTTACAGCTTCGCAACATGCAGAACTAGAATTCACAGATAAATCCTGGGTTTCTGCAAGAAGATTAGATACTTAAACAAAATCTAAACTTGCATCATTAAGGAAACATATTAGGCACAACATTTGTTTTTCAACCTTCGACATGAGTGAAAAATTATATATGTCTCAACTGTCCCAGATCTGGCAAGACAGCTCTGATTCAATACTTGTGTCACTATATCCTACACGTACGATACCATAGAAGAGCCAGAAATGTGTGCAGCACAAGTACAAAACTGCTTTAACAGCCAAATAGAACAGTTTGTCATGCCAGTGTGCATGCGCCACTTTTCTGGTGTCAACATGTCTATGGTGATTATAATTAATATTACTGCAAATAATGTACATTTTCCTCTATAGTAAAAGGTAGCCAGTACTTACAAAAATCATTACACGATAAGACTGGGAATCTTTTTTTTTTATTTAAATATATAAAAATCTGGCTAGTTCTGGAAAAACCAAACATGGAAAGTAAATTAAACCCTGCTTGAATGTGGCCTGCTTTCATGTTGGAGTGTGATCTGCTCTTGCTAGCAAATTAAAGGACCACTATAGTGCCAGGAAAACAAACTAATTTTCCTGGCACTATAGTGCCCTGAGGGTGCCCCCACCCTCAGGGTCCCACTCCCGCCAGGCTGAAGTGGGAGGAAGGGGCTTAAACACTTACCTTTCTCCAGCGCCGGGCCTCTCCTCCTCCGGTCGTCATCGGCTGAATGTGCATGCGTGGCAAGAGCCGCGCGCATTCAGCCAGTACTGTGTATGTGTTTGTATCTGTGTGTGTCTGTGTATTCAGGGGCGTATTAGCCGCGAGGCAAACAAGGCATTTGCCTTGGGCGGCATTTTTCAGGGGGCGGCAAAAAACGCCGCCCCCCAAATGCCCAGGGCAAATGCCTAGTTAGCCTTGGGCTAACTGACATCCCGAGCGGGCGGGCGGCGCTGGCAGGCAGGCGGCTGGCGAGGGAGCTCTTCCTCTGAGCTCTCTGCTCAGCTCCCTCGCGCGCCGCAGAGTGAGGCTGGGAGCCGGAAGATGACGTCATCTTCTGGCTCCCAGCCTCACTCTGCAGCAGGTGAACACCGGCGCGCGAGGGAGCTGGGCAGTCAGCTCAGAGGAAGAGCTCCCTCGCCAGCCGCCTGCCTGCCAGCGCCGCCCGCCCGCCCGGCAGCCACTGGACCACCAGGGAGAGAGAGACCTCCCCCCCCAGCACTCCCAAAGGTAAGGAGGTTGGGGGGGGATTTAAATAAAAAAAAAGTTAATGTGTGTGTGTTTGTGTCTGACTGTGTGTGTTTGTGTGTTTGTGTCTAACTGTGTTTGTGAGTGAGTGTGTGTGTGTGTCTGACTGTTTGTGTTTGTGTGTTTGTGTCTGACTGTGTGTGTGTGTGTTTGTGTCTGACTGTGTTTGTGTATGTGTGTGTGTGTGTTTGTGTCTGTGTGTGTGTTTGTGTCTGATTGTGTGTGTGTGTGTATGTGTCTGACTGTGTGTGTGTGTGTGTTTGTGTCTGTGTGTGTGTTTGTGTCTGACTGTGTGTGCGTTTGTGTCTGACTGTGTGTGTGTGTTTGTGTCTGACTGTGTTTGTGAGTGTGTGTGTCTGACTGTGTATGTGTGTGTTTGTGTCTGACTGTGTTTGTGTCTGTGTATGTGTCTGATTGTGTTTGTGTCTGTGTCTGACTGTGTGTGTGTGTGTGTGTGTATGTGTATGTGTCTGACTGTGTGTGTGTGTTTGTGTCTGACTGTGTGTGTGTGTGTGTGTATTTAGAAGGTGGGGCTGGGGGAAGGGTTGGGTGGGGGTGGCGCGGGGGGAGGGGGGCGTCTGAGTTTTGTCCTGCCTAGGGCAGCAGAAAACCAGGATACACCACTGTGTGTATGTGTTTGTATCTGTGTGTGTATCTGTCCGTGACAGCCAGACAGCCCTGATCTGACCTGTTGCCTTTCAATACTAGTACTTAGACAGCCCTGACCTGACCTGTGACATGACAATACATGTACTCAGACAGCCCTGACCTGTGACATAACAAGACTAATACTCAGACAGCACTGACCTGACCTGTGACCGGACAATTTTAGTACTTAGACAGCGCTGGCCTTACCTGTGACATGACAATTCTAGTACTCAGACAGCCCTGACCTGTGACCTGACAATTCTAGAACTCAGACAGCACTGACCTGTGACATGATAAGACTAGTACTCAGACAGCACTGACCTGACCTGTGACATGACAAGACTAGTACTCAGACAGCCCTGACCTCACCTGTGACATTACAAGACTAGTACTCAGACAGCCCT